TTAATTTATTGAATTTAATGTAATTTAATTAATTTATTTTATTTTAATTTATTTAATTTAATTTGATTTGATTTAATTTATTTAATTTAATTTAATTTATTTTATTTTATTTAATTTAATTTAATTTAATTTAATTTAATTTAATATATTTAATTTGATTTGATTTGATTTGATTTGATTTAATTTATTTTATTTTAATTTAATTTAATTTAATTTGATTTAATTTAATTTAATTTAATTTAATTTATTTTATTTAATTTAAGTTAATTTAATTTAATTTAATTTAATTTAATTTAATTTAATTTAATTTAATTTAATTTAATTTAATTTAATTTAATTTAATTTAATTTAATTTAATTTATTTTAAGAATTTAATAATTTAATTTCATGATAATTTTAGAATATTTCTAGAGATATTTCAATATATTTCAGAAAATATTTTTGCATCGGCTTATTACTATAAACATATTATAATGACAGTGCCAATCACAGAATGTACTGGGACTCACATAGGTCCAGTACATGTTACGATATTATGGATACATCTTAATACAGCAGAGAAAAAAGAATAGTCAAAACAATTAATTATAACTGACTTCAATAGAATTTTTAATTTTGGAACAAGTTGATGTATTTTTCTCATTACTTTTGAACTTGTGCGATGGTATATACTTTTTCATAATACTGTTTTTTCGAAAACAGAAGGCCACGATTTTCGGATGAACTTTTTTTCATATATTGAGATTATTTTACAAGTATATTTTTTATATTATGAAAAAAGAAATTTCTTAAAATTTGTTCAATATTCTTATCACATAAAATTTTAAATAAATAAATTAGAATATTGTAGTGATATAAACAACCTGACTAAAGGATTATTATATTCTAAAACTAATGCGATCAAGTAAATTAGATTATATATACTCTTTATACTGCTGGACTAATATAAATAATATATATAAATAAAAACACTTATTTTATTTGTTCATTTTAAACAAAAATTGTAGTTTATTTATTTATAACTTATAGTTCAGTCTACTTCGTGGACCATCTTTAGTGGTATAACACTGAATATAAACTAAAAAAATTGCTTAAGACCTGACAAACGCATGTCAACAATTAATGTCTATATTATTTACAAAAATTATTTTTGCTTATTTTTATTTGTATTAATCAATTTATCTAATAAAATTTTTAAGATTTAACTTAGGATATTCAATATGGAAATGAGTGTAGTTCATTTTAAATTAATATTTCAAAGTTTGTTGCTTAAGTCTTTTGTTATCCCATTTCATTTCAAATGTTTATAGTAAAAACTCATTTTATAAAATATAACTTTTGTGTTTAGTATTTTTAGATTTTTTTTTTATATTTGTAAAACTTATTTAATATTATTTTCTATTATGCCTTAATTGATAGTTAAAATAAAAAATAAAATTTACATCAACTTAATATTTTATTATGCAAATTATAAATTCTATATAAATTATAAATTCAATTTATAAAAAATATTAATTTATATTTATATAAAAAATAATAACGAAATACATATGTATATATAAAAAATATTTCGTTACTTAATATAAAAAAATTTTCGCAAAATTGCTGAAAAAAATTATTATTTAATTGCTATTCGAACCCTTCTAACTTTTAAATAATTTTTTTTCGTCATAAGACGCGACAGTTTCGGTAAAAAAAAATTAACTTCAAAAAATTATAAATTTTTTATTTATTATTATTGCCTCTATAAATGCCTTTGGCTGGTTCTAGCTTGATCTTATCTATACTACCCACTATTATGAGGTTTTGTGGATTCAAAACGGTTTTTTTTAGCTAATTGAGGAGAATTCGTTTCTCCATGCACCAAAACTAACAAACTAACAAACTTTATTTATTATTAGAGAACTCATTTATTATTAAAAAAAAATTATTAATTTATATTTATATAAAAAAATTTAACGAAATATGTTTGATATATACATGAATATTTCATTATTTTATATAGAAAATTTGTGTGTAAGACTACTGATTAAACTTACTTTTTTCTTTTAATTCATATGATTTATATCGATATCCTTATAAAGTAAAAACTCCTTATTCCAATATATATATATTTCTTGTTAAATACACTTAATCACATTGAATAAAGATTTTTTCAAAATATTTTCACATATAAAAAACTAGTTTTATTTCGATATTAGATATAAAGCATATCATTAACTCAATTATTAAATTGATCTCACAGAATTCTAAATCAATTATTAAGCCATTTAATTAATTAATACTTAAACACACACTTTAATTTATAATTCCATATGATTGCATATATAATTTGTAAACAATTAATTAATTTGATTTAAATCAATATTATCGGTCATTTCGAACAATTAGCACATCTCTTTTTTTTATTAATATCTATTTAAATATTAATCTGAAGAATGTCTAACTTCTCTGTAGTAGGAAGTAGTTAGTGCACTTTTTGATTGATTGAGTTTGAATTGGCGCAATTGCACTTTGATGAGGACATTGACAATGATTATGACAAAGTCAAAAGCGAACCGAACCCGCACTTTTCGAAGTGTGTAAAGTTGAAGCGTTCGAACTGAATAACACGTTTTCGACTTAATTACAAGCGACGGAATGAATTGAAAGACTTTGCACCAACCGCTTCAAGCTCAAGTCCAACATAAGCAAACCAAACCGAACCAAAGTTGGAGTTACTAATGCCAAGACTAAGCAAAACATGAAAGAAAAACAAACTTAAATTTCATGCATGCAACATTTGGAGATGAGCGTCAGATGGTTGGACGCAAATGCACAAAAGATGTTTACCACTCTCTACTATACCCAGTTGCTTCGCTCTCAGTAGTTGCCCGAATCAGCGGAGAAGTAGCTAAAAAATGTTAGAAATTTCAATAATGTAAAGCACACATAAGACTACACTGGAAAAAAAATTCATTAATAAGAAAATTTTACAAACATTGTAAGCTAATATTGAATAGTTGTAGTAGTAGTTATTATAGTAGTAGTTGTACTCTAATAACATGTAATAGCATAATATATTTATACTAGAAATATAATTGTCTTTAATGTTGTTGAAATAGAAATAAGCATGAATCTTTATTTTAGTGAATATTCCAATAAATACGTTTGTAGTGACTAGGAATGGAAAGTTCATGACCCCATGTCATACTATATAGAGAAAAATCCGTGTCACAAGCCCTTTAAATTGAACTAGAGCAGTTAAAAAATATCGTGTAAAAACAGATCTTAATATAAATATTCGGAAAGAGCAAAAAAGAGGTACTAAAAAAAATATTGGAAAAACTAAATAAATAAACAACATAAGAAGACTCTATGCTCCAGAAGGTGTTCAGAAAATCAGTAGTAGGAGACAGTTCTAACACTGGAGAGTTTGTTAATGTTGACAATAACAGATTTAAAAAAGTAAAAAAGTCCAAATATGTAGACAACGGACTTAGTCAGTGTTAGCGATTACTCATTTAAAATTTAGGAGATGCTAAATAAGGCGTAGTTTGTAAAAAAATCTTCATTGTCTATTATTAGTAAAAATAAGAAAGTATGCCAGTATTGTTGACGTAGTTAGTCAGTGATGCAAAGAGAACACCACTATAGGGAAAAACTTTTAAAAAACATCAGCAAAACAAAAAAAGGTTAATTGATTGAAATAATCATATTTACTGTAGTTCAACAATATTCATACTTACACATATTTGATGACTCGGAATCAATCAGTAAATTGACTTGGTTGGAAAGTTTTGATGCATCCACCTTATGGGCCAAACTTTGCCGCATCTAGCTACTATGCATATTCTTCGGTCTCTGCAAAATTCTCTACATAATAAAAAAATTTGGCAACCGATGGGGGGAGGGGGGAGCACCAAAATCGATGGAACTTAAAAGCTATTCGGAAAATGGATAATATAGAATTTATTAAAAACAATTTTCAATACAAATAATTATTGTATTGTTAAAATGTAATAAAACATGGCGAATAATATATACATATACATATAGCTGTACTTTCACTATCGATCTAGCATATTCTGGATGCAGGGGTAACATAAAATGGACACCCTTCCCATTATGATATATAACCACCCATATGCTCCTTTTAGTACTACTCATGGTTAATAAAATATACTTAACTTTATTAAAATTACTAATTACTATAATGTAGACTGTAATTAAGTGCGCAATCTTGCTCAGTATTTTAAGAATTTCTCGAAC